TATCTCCTGCGCAGTTGGCTCGTCTCAATGAGATTGGCCGCCGTGGCCAGAATCGGCCAGGAGAACATCATCATCTTCATCATCACAAAATAAATTATTATCTACGTTATCTAATAATTCTTTTATACATGTATATATTTTTAGAAAGCTCGTATCCCAACCTTCTGGAATACCATACGAAATGAATAAAAAATTACGCGCTTCAACGATATAATGATCCATAATCAGTTAAAATAAATTGCTGAATATTTTTAACATTAATACACAAGTATATGTCATATGCACGCCGACAAGTAAATTTGAAGATAATCCTGCCGATACGTTACACATCGTGTCAAATGGTTAATGATATTGAACTCATATGGTACTGGATGGGTTTATATCGTAAATAAAATGTTCTGTAGAATTTTCCGTGTGAGATTTGTACTCAATCAAAACAGAAAGTTAAATGTACAAAGTTAATAAAGGTAATTCATAGTAATGAGTGGTTTAATTCTTTGCGCAGTAATTACCTGACTGACCGCTATAAAGGCAGCTGCTATTTTATATTGCTGTAATATTTGAATTGAGAATTTTACTTTTAGTGCCAATTAGTAAAACAATATAATAACTTTTAATGAAATTAAAATAATGAATACACCTTAATAGTCTTTAAATACATGACTACCTGTACTCATTACGAATTTACTCTCTTTTAAAGAAGCTCTAACAGGAACAACGCTATCCGTGCCGCCAAGTATATATGTACATACATATACAATAATATGTAGCAGAAGTTAGGTTAGGTTAGAAGTTAGGAGTTATATTCACAATAATGATGATTTTTTACCATCAACAATGGAAATTGAAACGCCTAAAGCTCAAAGCTTATATAACAAAAACTGTGTCATAATTTATATTACCTTGAATATGCATAAGTCAACCTAAACACATGATGGCAATTAGCCAACCTGGCTCCTACGCTAAAACATGTTAATATCTTTTTCAATAAATTTATAGTATACTAGTATTGCCCGCGGCGCCGCCCGCGTTCAGTTGACCAAAAACCAAATTCTTAAGTTTTACATATTAGTATACTCTTACAATGCAGTTTTCGTATTTTTTCTCAGAAATGAGATATTTTACACCAAATTTCATCAAAATCTGTCCAGTGGCTTTCTTGTGATGCGGTAACAGACAGACAGACAGACAAAAATTCTAAAACTATAGATTCGGCCTCTGTATCGATAATAAAGTCTATTGCAATAAGATTTTCCAAAAAATATTTAATGTACAGATTCGGCTTAGTTAGAATTTTATTATATGTATAGATCCATAAGTTTACGCCAATATTGTACAAAAAATATGTTCGTTTGTAATCGACAAATTCTGAAATAACTAAACTAAAATCTTCAATTCAATTATCTTGTTAATGGCTTCAAAGCATGCCGGTTGAGCATAGATAACTTCACCAATTGTGTGTTATTTGGACTGTCCCCGGCACTTCATGTGGCAAATGCCATTATTAATATAATATTACTCTAAAAACCGAAAATTATGTAGTAACTCTAATAAATAAATCATTAAAATCAAATCAAATCAAATACATCACACGCTAGAACCAACAGTTCTTCGACAAGATTCGATATAAAAAATTTGAATATATATACAATTCTGGGTAAATATTTTTACTACAGATAAGAGCAAATAGTGTGGGAATTTACTACACCGCATAAAAGTATCGTAAAGTCGGCGAAGAAAATCCGCGCGGAATGCGGACAATTGTCTCTAGTGTAGGTACTTGTGTTTCATAATCATACGTATAGTTTGTGAGAGGTACAAGGTCGATGTGCGTGTACCTTATCTTTTTCTATAATAATTAGGTAGCAACCTTCTGTTATTCATTCATTCATTTTTCATAGAAATAAGTTTTAATTTGATAAGCTAATCGGACGTTAGATTAAGTGTTATAATATTTTATTTAATGAGATGTTGAAGTAATATTTCAAACGGACGTAATTAGAATGAAACATTTACATATTAGAATTAGTAGGTTGGCTTATTAATATATATTTTTAGTGATAAGATAATTTTTATTTGTATAAAAAAGTCCTTCACCTGACCCGCCACAGCGGCCAGTCTCACTGAGACTAACATGTGCGCAGGAGATATTATGGTATAAAAGTATGCGCGAAAACATAAGTGCATTCCTTTTCTTTACTCTTGAAGTTCAATGGGACAACACTTCAACACGACCGGTGAAAATTAAGGGGTGGACCAATGGGCTTACGAGCTCTCCAAGGCACGAGGATTTAACACCACCAACTTCCGAACTCCGGACTGCTACCGAGAATCTCTTAACAGAAAAACTTCACAACCTCCAAATCTGCGTTTGTATATGCTAACCATTAGACCACCGAGGTAGTTAAAGTATTAAAATACATATATATTGTTCTTCTAGAATTCATAATAAATTAAAAAAAACTGATACAAAAAACGAACACTCATGTCTTATAGTAATAAATACCTATAAGATTTTAATTACTGCTTTTAAATTTTATTACCTTTAAGTATACTATGAGACCTGATTTGAATCTACATATATATTTTAATCAGAAATACACAGACAGATATTATAAGCGTCAAACCTCTGGCCACCTTGTTTTTGCCGGGAGTTAAAGCCGTAACAAATGGTCGAAATGGATTTGTTACGACGAAGAAATCGTTTTACGCTTTCACACGATCGGACCTGACAATACACGATAAAAATGTATGAATATCCTTTATGCGTCATCTCATAATAACGTCAAAATTATAGTCACTAGTTACTATCACTGAATTTCAAGAAAATATAAATCTAGATATCCCTAATTAGTGGAGCGCCGTAAGATTTATACCTCGGAATGCGGGGAAGGTCAATGAATCTTTATAAAAACTTTTAATATGTGTTTTTGACATTAAATAGAAAAATGTTAAAAAACATATTTTGTGCGATCTCAATTTTTTTATTAATACAAATAATTATCAATTTTTGGGAGCTTTCTTTTATTTTTATTAGTTTAATTATATTATTTATTTAGTTATAATTATATTTTGAAAAGAAAAGTATTACAAACTCGTCCTTGGGCCCTAGCTAGGTACAATACGTAGCTGTTTTTGTTTTTATTTTTAGGTAATGCCAAAAATAAGAGCAGGCTCATAGATATGTTACAACAAATACTTGTGGAAAATAAGACATTTTCTTGCCAAGCAGAAGCTGATGTCGACAGATTAATAATTGAAACTGCTATTAATCTGCAGTCCGAAAACATTGTTGTAGTGTCCGAGGATGTAGATGTTTTAGTTTTATTAACTGCGATTTCACCAACACACCGAGAAATTTATTTTCGAAAGCCATCCAAAGGCAAAATACTGCAAAAAGTGTACTCTTCTAAGAACTTAGAAAGAGTATTAACAGAGTGTAAACAGCATATTCTGTTCTTAGATGCTTTCACTAGTTGTGACGCGACGTCAGCTTTTTTCCAACGTGGCAAAAATGTATTTGCAAAAATTTTTGAGAAACAACAGTTTTTAAAAATGAATGCAAAGATACTAATGACATTTTTAACGCTGGTTACGTGCATTCTTGCTTTATACGCTGACCCCCGAAAAAAAATATATTAAAGATATAACTCTTTTTTGAAAGCAACTGCTAAAAATACCTGCGTTAAACTACCGTATTTGCCACCTACTGCAAATGCCGCTTTTGAACACTTGAAAAGAGTATATCTGCAAATTAAAACATGGCTCGGAAAAGAAATATCACCAGAAGAATGCGGTTAGAAATATGAATGCGGAATGCTGATACCGCAAATAATGACGCAGCTACCAGCTCCAGAATCCTTACTGAAAATGGTTTTTAGCACATGCAAATCAGGATGCGGTGCATATTTTGGGTGCGGAAGAAATAGATTAAATTGCATAGTAGCTTGCTCAGAATGCAATGGTAACGGCTGTAATAATCCTTCACCTACAATCCACATCAATGACATCAACGACAACGACAATAATGTTCGATAATGTATTAATATACATATATCCCTATTTCCTTACTTATGTAATATTATAAATTTGAAAGTTTGTCCTTCTTTCACGTCGAAACGGAGTGACGGATTGGCGTGATTATTTGTATGGAGATAGTTGAAGGGCTGGGAAGTGACATAGGCTACTCTTTACCGCGGGAGATTATCTAATTCCCCCGGGAAAACACATTATAATACAATCCAAAAAATATTTATGATCAGAATTACTTGAAACTTGGTATTTATGCTCCTCAACAAAATTAAATAAATACGTGTTTTAGCATTTTTCGAAATTCATTCTATAAGGGACTAAAATTTTGGATGAAAGTTTCTATGAAACTACCTTTTTAGAGATTTTTTTGTAGTTATAGTGCGAGCGAAGCCGCGGGTTCTGCTAGTAGTATATAAGTAAAAGTAGTATACATTTTTATTAACTTGATTATTTTTTGCGAAATATTAATAAACTTTTATCAAAGTAACTATGCAAATATACTTTTTAGGTACAAAATTGAAACCTTTACTTTAAACATTTTTTGCCCTTGTCCCTCTCATTTTTCAGTAAATTGTTGTTATAAATTGTTGTAATCAATATCGCACAATTTTTTATTTTTAACTTTTTTATTTGAGCTTTTAACAATGCAATAGAACAGTTTTTATGAATATTTATTGACTTTCCCTGCATTCCGAGATTTTACAATTTTTATGCCTTACGGCCCTCCACTAAATAGAAATCAATCCTCCTCCTCCTTATCAAGAAAAATCTTCACCAGTTTAAATAATGGTGGTATACTTTGTATATGTAATATAAATAAGGTCTATGCTCACGACGGCTTTCTAACGCTCAGTGAGCGCACTATTCACGTATTTTTAGAAGTACGTACCGTTCGCATATACAGCCTCAGACCCAGAAATCTGGTTTTCGAGTCCCAACGTCGGGCCAAGATCAGTTATTGAGTATTGATGTCAAATAAATTCTCAGTAACAGCCCAGATTTGGCAAGTTGGCAGTGTTTCGCCCCCGTGCCTCGGAGAGCACGTAAAGCCGTCGGTCCCGCGCCTTAACTCTCACCGGTCATGTCGAAGTATCGTCCAATCGGATTTTGAGAGTAAAAGTAATAGAGAGTTCAGGTGTGTCTGCGCGTACAGTTGTGAACTATAATATCTCCTACGTAGTTGGCCAGTCTCAGTGTGATCGGCCGCCGTGGCCGGAATCGCTCCAGATGACATTATGTAAGCATTTGGTAATCTAAATTTTTAAAGTAAATTAGTGCAGAATATGTACAGATTAAATACGTTTATGATATGCACGTCTGTCTGTGCCTTTATGAAACATGTTTACAAACATACTTTTAAATTTATCAGCAACTTTTTTTAAAGAATGGGTTTGACACAGTAATAATAATTATTGACGGTAGGAAAGTCTACACATGAAGAAAGGTTAGAGTGTACTAAATTCACTGTAGGGTCATTGCTAATGTGCAAAATCCACTAAAGACATTTATGTAAATATATCTTAACTACCATTTCTCTTTAAAGTGAGATTTTGTACTTTGTAAGAAAGTAGTGTTAATTTTCAGTAGGCCATTGTTAATATCTTCTACGAGCATTAAAATACTTTAGAGTTTGTTTAAACATTAAAATTAACAATTACATATAGGAAGTAAAATATAGAATATAGATGTTTCAAACATCCTAATAATGAGTAATAATGTTTGCTTAACCTGTTAACAAAAATTTTAAAAGCTAATACAAAATTTTATTTCAGTATGTGATTTGATGTTAACTTATAGAATAGGATCGTGTCTGAGATAAAGCTCTCTAGTGTAGGGTTATTTTATGCATTTTTATTACGACTAACACTAGCAATATCTTTATAGGCAATAACATCTTCAGTAGCACTTATTTGTAACTTTCCGGTTTAGTATTTCCTTTATTTTTATAGACTTACATCAAGATTTCTTTTTCTTATGTATTACGTAATGTAAGCATTATTTTAGCAGCTTTGTTACAAATAAGTTTTGTATATTATTATAGTTTTAAAAACAAAGTATTTAATACTTTCATAATACTTTCTTATAATACTTTCATTTTTTATTTAAAATCAAAGTATTTTTTATTATTTCATTTACTGAAGTACTGTTACCTTGGAACCTGAGCGTTTCAAGCAGGTGCGTGCCTAGGTAACTTTTGCTACGAGCTAATATACCGTTTTGCTACTAGGTAATATATTAAATACCTCGTTGATCTAGTGGCTAGCGTACGGCAACAAATCCAGACAGTAGATTCGAATTTCTACGTCGAGCCATGTATATTTAATGGGTTTTTCCTTGAAGAACTCGGGTTAGTTTAGATAATTACTAATTAGCGGAGTTGTGTGTTAGAAGAGCCCGTAAAACCATCGGTACCACGCTTTATCTTTTACATATATAAGCGAAATTTTATCCCATGAAATTTGAGAGTAAATAAATAAAGAGTGGAATGTGAAAGAAATATGTAGCTTTCTATTGCAAACGCGACTTGTGTTAACTTAAGAAAAAATACAGAATAAAGCAATTTCATAGACATTAATATTCCTCAAATTGAACAAATGAACGAGTGTTTCTATTGCCAATACCACATGATAATAATAAATATAAAAAAACTCATACCCAATCTACTTATCTCATTTACGCCAACAAACATGTGTAGTTTTCAATCCAATTTAGTATAAACACAAAATAGAAAAATAATCACATATTACCAAGGTATGCAATTTTGTCTGCAAATTGACTTGCAATTCAAAAGTGCATTCATTCTATCTTTGTCGTTTACTTGTTGTTCAATCACTAAAAGAAGCTTGTTTAATGGATTTTCAACATTACTTGGCTTATAATCTTACTGCACTTATAATGTATACTTTACACTTACATATAAACTTCTATATAAACATATCTCTAGACACTTGCAATATTTTTTTTATTATTTATGACTACATACTGTTTTTATAATCAATAAACTAAGCTCTCACGTCGCTTAATTCAAAAGCGTTAGGCATTTTTTATGGGCCACTAGCTGTTCCGACAGACTTTATTCTATTGCCCAAATTTCAATCTTATAAATGTAAAATCATTTAGAAAAAAACACTCTTTCCCGATTTTCCCAATATCCCACATTATTTCTAAAAGCCTTATACGGACTTATATTATGAATATTTAAAATATATATTAAACAAATTGGTGCAGCCGTTCCTACCAAACGTTTTTATTTTATAGATAACTAGCGACTAACCCTCGCTTCCCTCGGGTTCGTCCCTAGGAACGTTTAAGCGGTTAGTATGAAATACAAATCTTTGTATTTCTCGGCTTTTCTGTTATTATACATATAAACCTTCCACTTGAATCACTCTATCTATTGCTGTAAACTACATTAAAATCCGTTGAGTAGTTTAAAAGATCTAAGCGACAGATATATGTACGTAAGTAAAGACTAGTACTAAAATTCTATGGTTGAATATTCCATTTCAAAGAATGAAAATACTTAAAAATTAACTTAATTTTTATTTACATGACAAAATGTTACATCTCATAATTAACGTAAATTCTGGTGAATATTGTAAATTATTTCTATTGTTAAATCAAATGGAAAGTTCTATATTTATTTACGTCCACAATAAATTTAAATATTATTTTCCTTTGTTTCAGTTACGCTACGCTCATTGGTCCGCTAATCGCTCAACTCTTGCGGTCGCCGTCGTCGCCCGCGGCAGGGACTCAGTCACGACATGCCAGTCAGAAACCACCAATTTGTGGCCGCCGTGTTGGTTTTCTTGAAGCTAGCGTCTTCATGCTCTCTTTACACTTTTTGCCAACGTAAATAAATCTAACCGACTCATTTTTGCAAATGTTTCGTTCTGATTGTTTGATTGATTTTTAAATATTAATTATTATTTTTTATGTATTAAATCATTTTGTGAAGTTTTAAAAGTCAATGCTCATCTCAAAATAAGAAATGGTGATTAAATTTACTGTTGCTTTATACAGATAATAGATATAAACTCTAAGCAACCAAAGGCTTGTTATAGAATAAAACAATTTAAAGTTCCCATTATAATATATAATAATACTGCCTAACTGATAGGTATCTTGAATCACAGAGAATTGCTAACATAAAACAATAATAATTACTTACTTACCTCTAATAACTCGCTTAACTTTAAATTAGCGGAAGACTTGACTTATTGTCCCTTATAAATATGAGCAATAATAATAGTTCATCTAATATAATGCGAGTAACTTACATCGTGAGTAATGTGCGTCTGCGCTTGTGCAATTTGCACTAATACCCTGTTTCTTGTTCTAATCGCTGCAGATCTCTCCAATGCGTCGGTGCAACGTCAGTAGTGCATTTCTATAATGACCGTAAAAACTGGAACCCGCTTGCATAATCTGACATTTTCTTCGCGGAAGCCAATATCTCACTGAGCAAGATCTCAACTTATCTGAAAGTGCAATGTTTATACCTTATATATAGTAGTTTCTTGTTATTTACAACCTTTGTATCATTGACTTTAATAAGTATAATGTATTACTTGATATTTTAATTATTATCTAGTCATTAAATTATAGTTTAAGCATACATATTAAAATATTTTTTCTTTAACTAACAACAAATATGTTAAAGTAAAAGAACACAGTACATACAATTTATACCTAATATTTACAAATATAAAATAAAACATACGAATTAACACTTAAATCTCAATTCAATTCTCTTGTTAACATGTTACAGTTAATCAAAGGTAACAATTAATAAGCTACTTCCCGCAAGTACTAACTATCTTTATTTACAAATACCTTCAGGCACCATCAACATTGTGTATCAGAGCCACACAGAAATCTATGTTTATAAAGAAGTGGGCAGGCCACAATGACGGGGCCGTGACGTCACTCCGTCTGTCAGCGGGACCCCGAAGAATGAGTTCATTTCCTTCGACCATAAGATAGGATTTTTAATTAAGTTTTTGTTAAAAATTCATTACACAGTAACGACAGCTCTGTGGCCGTAGTCCTACATGCATAAATGACTACGTAATTAATGAGCGTAGAATGTTGGCACTTTACTCGTTGGGATGTCGAATTTTTGATGATTACGCAACTGTTATGTGCACGTCAACTTTTCTAATTAATTTCTTTCTATACCTAATTAAATTTTTAAGATGTTTTGCTTAAAGCATGTAATTACTTCACTTTTACTGAATGGTTCCTTGACGAAATATAATTAATAACTTGAACTAATAAGCAAAATTCTCTAAAAGCAATCTTTACGAATTGATACATAAAAGCCCTAATATTGAGTGCTAAGTTATATAAAAACTACTATGCTACATACATAATGTAGCTTATTACCGCTGCATTCTATTAAGCAACAATAACAATAGCAGAGTGGGCCATCAAATTTAAATTCCTTCTCATTATCCTGGCCGCTTCTGACTGTCAACTTGACTGTCAACTTACTTTTTATTCATAAGAATTATACTCAAATGTGTCAGCAATTCTTTAAAAGGTACTCCCGTTATGGACATCGGAACGCAGCTTCACAAGCTTTTCTTATTCGATACCGGGTCTATGTCAATAATTTATTATTTAATGATGAAGATTTATTAAAATTACCATTGGTAATACATTATACTGTCACATTTAATTAATTAGTAAAGAATTAATGAATCTTAATAAGATAATTTACTTGAAGTAAATTGAAACGCGAGAGGAATTTAAAATAATGTACTTGTAAGATTGCCTTAAAATGTTTTATTTTTATTATTGTTATATCACAGAACATTCAATATGACAACAAGACCAGGAATGTAACAAAGGGAGAACCATGTCTTATTTAAAATCCAGTCAGCAATCGTCGAGGAGCAGTCGCTTAAACCTGTAGGAGAGTGACCTGTACATGGCTTGCATGGCGCATGTTAAGATCGTATTCTTAGTAAAACGAAAAATGTAAAAGAATGACGAAAATGTGCTTCAACGTTTTACATTTGGTACTTTTGATACACAGTATCCTTTCGATGTCTTAATACGTTTCAGTTTTCAACGAATAAAAAAAGTTTTATAAATAAATACACGTAACTTGTGCCTGAGATTAATATTTGGTGTAAAAGTATGCACATATAAAAATATATAAAAAATATTATTTATAATTTAATAACTCTTTATTTTATAAGCATTTAAAAAAAACAGATTTTAAGAACTACACCAAAAATATTTTAAACTGTAACATAAAACATTTTTTTTAAATATTTCTTTAACTTTTATATTTAGTTAACGAGCTCAGCTGCGACAATGCGTCTCTGCCGTCAGTGCGAAACGTCTCCCCCATTTGTAAAGGCATCTTCAAAGAGAAACTCAGCTCTAACGCATCGCGCTTTATATCGGAACTAACATCGCGTATTCGTTTGTTTGTCACCAAAATAAGATGCTTTTTTAATAGCTGTTTAGTGTCGCGACTTAAATATCTGAATCGTATTGTATTAGGTGCAGCTGGTGAGCGTCGTCAACGAAAATTAGTTCGGATAGGTGTATCGTTTCAAAATATTCCTCTACCGAGAATATATTTTGATGATAACTTTAGTAATAATTTACACGATATATAGTAATAAACAATATAAAATACGAACCTATGTACATTTTATATTAAGAAAATTTAGATTTTACAATTATGTACATATTTACGACCTGATTTCTGGTACGTCTATGGTTGTTGGGGGTTTGATACCCATTCATGGCTATTAAGTGTTAAAATCATAAATATAATTAAGATATGTATAAGCCTTGATACAATGGTCTGCTATACTGCGGAGAATGACTCCACAATAAAAATATTCTATAGACATAGAACATACATATAAATATTTGTCTATATGTTAATGTAGGAAAATAATGTCTTTCAGAATTACTTATTTTAAATATAAAGAGATTCAGTATATTATACTCGTAAATGATAGTCATATAGTTGTGAAATTAGAACTGGGATGTATTTATTGCAGCAATCATTTATACATTTATAACTTAATATAAGAACATATTATTTTCTATAAAAATGCTTTTCTATATTACATTTATATATCAAGTTTCTTCAAACGACTAAATTCCTTTAATTTTTTATGCAAATATATTAATAGAATGTCGAACAAAATTTATTGTTTCTATTAATGCATCATTTGCAACTCAGTAACATGATATCATTTTTTCATATATTAGAATAGTTTATTTGGTCAATTTTATAGCATAATTTATTATACATTAAATATTCTATTCTCTTTTATTATTCCTTAAAAATATTTATTTTAACATAAGAATGCGATATTTACAATTCAAAATTACGTATATATATCTGGTTTGGCTTCTCTTTTGGTTTTGTCTGCCTATTTCAAAGTTATTGAATTAAATCCTTAAAAAATCCACGTAAAGTTCCGGAAGAATATTACCTTCAATCTTCAAATCCTAAAATTTAAATAACATCGTTATAACAACGAAATATAATATAATACTGTTCATATAAAAATATTTATTACAGACTCAAACATAATATTTAAAAAAATATTTTTTAGGAATCACTGTATGTAACATTATTGTAAGTTACAGCTTACAACCTTTATATGGTTTCAGATAAAAAATTATTTTTTCTTATCTTCAATTTTTTTTTTGTATAAAATAAGAAAGATACTCGTATGCTTCGGTAGCAAATGTTTATCAGCACAATAAGGAGTGCGATATAAATATTTTAGGATACGAGTGTGAATGGAAGTCGTGTCATTTCTCAAGTTGACCGCCTTTATGACTACGATATTGCTTCTGCTGGTGCGTAGGATGACTATATAACTTAAAGGACCGTCCTGTTAGAGAGACATGTTTATTATTTTGAAAAATATATTTCCAAAGTTATACGGTCATTTCTTTCTCGATATTGTGACAGAATTTATTAAATTTTATATTTAAGGATTTTAATATGTAAGCTTACTTCATTTTATGTGCAGAGTAATAAAAAGTAAAGTAAGTGCAAAAAATATATACTTGGATTTAATTTTTTTTATATTTATTATAATTTATAAGTTTTTCTTTATTCAGTCTCAAATCTCGCAAGTCTCACGATTTCTAAATAAAAGTTTTAAGTGTATAACATGCTCTAAGATAAATTCACTAATGAGTTTAAACACTTTCTAGGACTAATTAAAACGCAATACTTGCTGTTATGATTATTACTCGACAGGTGTGTGACATGAGAAATATGTGTCACCGAAAGCAATGTAATATTTAATTAAATATTCAAAACACCAACTTAATTAAAATTGTAAGAAGTTTGTCTAAAAACATCCCATATTGAAATAAAATTAAAAGCGTTTGAAACTTTGAATCGATTAAATTAATTTTAAGCGTGAAATAAGTACATAACATCGAAACACTCATTTTATGTATGTCTGAAAAATATTTTAGTACGGTGTTTTTTTAAATAATTCAATTAAAAATAAAACTACATAATTAGAAAATATACTAGACTCAGTTACATCTAGAAAAATATCTATACCTACGTATAATAAAATTGTAACTAAGACGATTGATTGAGTTGACGAATCATTGAATATTTTTTTGGAAAATGTTATTGAAATAAATATTATTATCGATACAGAGGCCGAATCTAATCAACCAGCTATCACCATACCAAATTCCATCAAAATCCCTCTAGTGGTTTTTCTGTGATGCGGTAACAGACAGACAGACAGACAGACAAAAATTCTAAAAACTATAGATTCGGTCTCTGTATACATAATAATGACTATATCAATAATATTTTCCCAAAAATATTTAATG